TTTGGTGTCTTTTTCCGTCTACCCAAAAAGCTTTCTTTAATATTTTTGTAGCCTTTGCATATGCCATTGCTTCTGCTTGAAAAATGCTCTTCCCCACTACCTGCATGGTCAGTTCCCTCAATCCTTTATGTAGTTTGCTCGAATGTCACAGTCTATATGGGGTCCTTTAACCATCTTTCTATATTGCAATGCTCTGTCCCCGTGATCCTCTCTGTAACCCCACCTTACTTTATTTTTCTCACAACACTTAGTATCTGACCTGTCTGGTAGTTTGGTTTTTTGTCTGTCTCCCCGTCATTAGAATGTAAGCTCCATGAGGATGGAATTTTATTCGTATTTTTTTCCACCCATATGACTATACACCACTTCCTAGTTATGTTACCAGCTGAACATACCCCAGTCACACAGCACCAAAGTATGTAAGAGGCGGCGAATCCATACGGATCTGCAGCAACCTCAATTCTTGTCTCCTCAGAAGAAAGAATCCAAACGAAGAGCAGAGTTTAGAGAAGGGGTGAAAATTTATTAAAAACTTCTCCCCTGATTCTTCCCTTGGGGTGGGCTGTGCACATGCGCAGTGGCCCAGTAGCACTTGGGAGGGGCCGCATGCGTGGTGCATTTACCGGAGTTGTACGCATGCTCACAAGAGGCATTCTTCCTTTACCAGTCCAAATGTTATACCAGTTAAACTCTGCCATTTTGCCTCTTAGTGTTCATGCTTGAGCCCACTTACCCGGCTCCTGAGATCTCATCGGGAACTGCTGATCAGCAATTACAGGTGTTTCTGTGTATTGAGAGACTGCCTTTCCCTGGCATTGGCTGTGACCAATTATTTTAGAGAGAGAGCTTAACAACTACCTCACCATCACTTGATGGTTGCCTGACATTCCTGATTGGTGAGGGAGAGAGAGAGGGGGTCAGGGGACTCTCCTGCCCTGTTCCTGTCTGACTAGCTACCTGCTGTAACAATTATACTGTTACTAGTAATAAACCTATCACTTGTGCCTATGACAGGGCCTTGCACAAGGTAGATCACCAATGATTATGGTTGGATTGATAAACAAGGCCTCTCTTATGCCCCCAAGAATAGCAGAGACGCTCTTCTCACCTCTTATTCGGAAGCTACTCTCAATTATATATAAGATGGTAAGATTAGTCAACTCACTCTCATCAGGTGGTTAACGTGCTAGTGGTTAATCCAATCCAGTTACTTGTTCCAATAATTAGACCCATGCTGGATGTGTTCCTTCAGCTCAGCCCTGCCTGCTCTGAAACTATTTCGGAACCAATGGCTTTGGTTGGGCACTGGAAATACATAAAGAAGAAGACATACATGCTGTCTCAGGGTACTCATGGGTCTCTAGCCAGGAGTCAGACGACATCACCACCATCACAAGCTGGTGATGCCAGAGAGGTGTGAATGGAGAACAGAGTTGAAATTCATATGGAAGTGACCAGTGGAGTTGTCAGGGATGTTTTAAAAAGAAAATAACAAGTAAACTGGGTTTTGACAAAAAATAAAATAGGGATTTATTTTCTGCATGTGAGTACATATCTAAAGTAGAAAAGTATAACAGTTCAAAAAAAAATACAGTTATGTGGTTCAGGTTAATGCCTACAGGCCAGAAGACGGCTCAGAGCCTTCTCTGTGAGTGTAAAGTTTATCCAAGTCACCTTGGACACCATCACATTCTCTGCTTAAGCAAAGCTGCTTGTCAGAGGAGTTTCTGCATATTCTGAATATTCAGGGACTCTCCTGGCCCTGCAGGTGCCTCAGGAAACCCTAGAGAGGAAACACATCCTCATTGGTGAAAGGATCTCACGTGGCGTGGCTCTTGCCAAGGGTGAGCAGTGTAGAGGGAGCATAATAAACTCTCTTAGACAACATCTGATTTCCAACAGCTGTCCCACTTCCGAGGCTTCGTGCTTTCAGTGCAGCCACCGCCAATGCTATATCCTCTGGTTTAAGGTTAGGTACCAGAAATACTTCTGCCAGAAGTTCTTGATGTAATCAAAATGGGATTTTCATGGACTTGCACAATTTTAGGATCTGGGAGAAGATCCTTACCCAGGCCTGCTTTGAGGCTGGCCCTCAGTCTGTCCCACAGTGAAATAACCCAACATCTGACTTTGAAGCCAGGTTCTTGGGTCAGTTCTTACCTTTTTGTGTGTACCAAAGAACTCCTCCAAATGCTTCCTTTCCCCACAGACATGTACCCCAATGCCCTTAACTTGTTCCTAAATGAGTAAACAAAGCTTCAGTAACATATAAACATGATTTATGAAAACAAATCTCTCCCCAAATCTGCTTAGAGAAGCAGTGTCACATAACTGTAAGCAAAGATGAAAGACCACGATTAACAGGATCCACATCTGTTTGGGGGAGGATGTCACTTGAGTCTCTGTCAGCCTTTACCTCAAAGAATGTGTACTCTAGGTCGATAATGAAACTCGTGGCCCGTCTGTCCTCTGGTGTGCCCTGTGCTGTGCTGAGAAGTTCCCATCCACTGGATCTCATGGAGGTTCACAGTCATGTGAAGAGGGAGTCTTGTCTTCACCTGCATCTTGCAGGTGAGTGGACAGAGATGTGGAAAGCATGAGAGCTAGTGCAGAGAAGAGCTGGGGCACCAGCAGTAGGACTGGAGGCAGGACAATGTCTTAGATTACTATCTGGATGGACAAACTACATAGATGAAGATTAAAAAAAAAAACAAAAAAAAAACCTGGACCTGATTTATAAAATTGAGATGTCTCCATTGATCCAGTTGCTTGCATCATGTGTTAATTCTCTGCTGTTCTCTTTCTCATGTAAGCACCACCTGTCTTCCACATTATGATATGAAGCTGAACATCCACCCCACTAGGTCAACAGGGACACTAATTGGGGAATATTTGAGGTGTAGAGAGGAGGGAGATGCTACATTCTGTGAACCACAGTAAGGGGGATGCCTCTGTGTGTAGGGATGTGAAGGCCCTGGCCCTGTGTCATCCCCAGACAAGCCCTGTATCACCCTGGCAGCTCTGCAAGGACAGAATCTGCGTGACACTTTGGGAACTTTTAGGATGCTAATCAGAGGTCTTCTCCTCTGAGTCCTCAAACAAATGAGAAGTAGACCCTAGGGTCAAGGATGGATGAAAATATCAGCATGGTGGTCTGCAGAGCTAGATTGGATCTGCAGAGAGCCCAAGCCTCCCTGTTTTCCTCTGCCTAGTCTCCAGCCACTAAGCCCAGGCAGCTGTGTGCCCATTGTTTCTGTGGGCAGAGACAGAACCGGGCCATAGACTTGCTGTGGGGAGGGATATCTGCCATATGGAAGCAGAAGCCAAGAACATCTTTCCCTTGTGGTCCCTAAAGGAAAAATTGAAGAAGACCACAGAGAATAGCAAGTCTTTCATAGCTTAAGACACCAACAGACATCAGACTCTTTTCACCCTTCCCAGCAGCTGTCCTTCAGGAAAGAGGAAATGGAGTGGGAATTTTTCCCCCAATACTTTCAGGGCAGAAGTCATCATTTGCTACTATCTGAATGTTTGTGTTTTTCCCAAATTCCTATAAGGAAATTCACCCCCAAGGTGTTGGCCTTAGGAGGTGGAGCCTTTGGAAAGTGATTAAGTCATGAAGATGGAGCCCTCATGCATAGGATTAGTGGTTTTATAAAAGATGCCCAAGAGAGATCTCTTTTCTTTTCCACCATGTGAGAATACAACAAGCAGTCACCATCTATGAACCAGAAAACTGATTCGCCAGACACTGTATCTGCCAGCACCTTGGTCTTGGACTTCCCAGCCTCCAGAACTGTGAGAAATAAATGCCTGTCATTTGTGGGCCACTCAGTCTATAGTATTTGGTTAAAGCAGCCTTAATGGACCAAAACACCATTTCTGTGCCCATCAGCAGCATGAAGAATAGGAAATGATATCTTCCCACTGTAGGTGTCACTGTTGACCTCCATCACACCTTTCTTGCATCTACACCCTTGCTGTGGCCTCATCGCGGGTGTCATATGCTTCCCTGACTCTGGGCTCTGAGGTTGGCTATGTGACTTACTTTTAGCCAATGGAATGTAGATGGAGACAGGAGGGTGCCAATTTTGGATGAGGCATTTAGAAGCCCTTGGGTTTCAGTAGACCCTCTCGTGCCTCTGATATCACCCTGCAGAGAACATGCCCCAGTTACCTCTCTGGTCCAAAAAGTGCAAGAGACAGGTAGAAAGAGACATGGTAGACACCCTAGCAATCCCAGATGCAGAGCTGCTTAGTCAAGACCATTCTAGATCATCCAAGTCCTAGCCAACTCATAGACACCCAGGTGGTAATGCAGGATTGTTGCTTAAGTCCACAAGTTTTGGGGCTGTCTGTTATGCAGCAACAGCTAACTCATACACTTACCTTTCGTATTTATTTTGGAATCCCCCAGGCCTAGCAAAAGTCCCAGAATAGTGTAGGTGCTCAAAAAGTATTCATTGTTTGAATGAATGAATGAAATCTCCTTTTTGTAAACCAGCTCATCATAATGTCTCACTAATGGCTGCCTTACATTGCAGTATTTATCTCTGTGATTTTGGAGGAATAATTAGAAAAAAACAAAAACAAAAACAAACAAAAAAAAAAACACACAAGGCAAGACAGTAACCTCTCTTGATATGAGCTGCTAAGCATTTAAAGTCCTAGGAGTCAGAGATCACCTGGCTGTCTTCAACATCACCTGCAGGCAGCTGGTGCATCACAAACTATGGTGTGATGAAGCCAGCCTCCTTCACCCCCCCTCTAAACTCCAACGGGAAGAAATGACCCAACATGGCCATGCATTTATCTGGAGTCAATGCTGATTCTGACTGCATGACCACCTTTACCCTCAGGCATGTGAGTCCCATCAGAGAGGTTGCTAGTATGATATCAGGTCCACTTTTCTTCCTATTTTTCAAAGGAAATGTTCCAACACATCCGAGGAAACACATGCCTTCCCAGACTGGCCTGATGCTGTTTCCCAGGAGCTGCATTCTGGAAGGTGGACCATCAGGTGGAAGAAGTATTCTTCAGAGAGCTGCCTTCCCAAGGGAATGGTGACAGCTTGCGCTTGCCGGGGAGTCCTGCTGCCTTCCGAGGTGTGAAGGAAAGGCATGCACTGTGCATATGCTGTACCATACAGTTTTGCCTACAACTGCTTGTAGCTTCATTGTAGCTGTGAATGCTCTGTTCCTCTCCTTTTCACCCCTGAAGATTCGCGAACATGCAGGATTGAGCTGTGCGAGGCATAGCATTCCCCACATGGTAGGCGAAGGAGGATGTGGGTCTGACGGCTCTATCGCCGCCCACCCGGGTGAATGGACACGTGTTCCGGGGTATCAGAGCTTGCGGCTGACCAGCCGACATGTCCACAGGCAGCCCTCCCACTGGCTGTGTCGACATTTTGGGTTTCATTGAAGGATTTTACTGGTACAGACTTTACAAAGGCAAAATTGTTTCTCAAAGATCTCAAATCAGAGGCTGCTAAAAATGAGAGGCCATCAGTTGCAGAAAAGCAAGCACAGATTAATGACCTATCTATGTCCTACACGGTTTTAGGACTGCCCCTAGATGGGCTTAAAGACCCTAGCCTAAAAACTATAAATGTGCTTCCGTTTTTGCCCTATAGTACAAGAAAGCCTTATAGACTGCTTCTAACTGTGAGAGGAGGAGAGGCCGGGAAGGGAGAGGGAGAAGAGGAGGAGAACAGGAGATGAGAAGGAGGGGAGAGGGAGGGGAGGAGGAGAGAGTCTTGTCAAAATCTTTTTAGTGCACAAAACTAATTTTGTTCATCTTGGATTTGGTGAGCTGGATAATATTCTGTGCACAGCTCCTAAATGAATTATTAAATGTCAACTCAAGATGGCTTAACTAAAATACTCAATTTAATAACCAAAAGTATCGAAGGTAACAACAACGATTTTGCAGGTGATTGTAGAGTTGTCAAGTCAAACCATTATAGACAAGCATTTGGGGTTTTCACATAATCTCCTTCCACATCTCATCTTCTGTCACTAAATACCCACTCTAGTGAGCATATTCCATTTCAATAAAGATCATCCCTTCGGTGCCAGCTTCTTTTTATTCAGATTGAGCCAGAAAACCTTTTTTTTTTCTAAAATATAAAACTAAACAAGATCTCAGTCACAACCACCAAATCTTTATTAATGCATTCCTTGTGCTACTTCTGAATATTAATAAAAATTAATAATTAATTTTGCCTTTGGCATTGCAAGATATACTAGTTTTAATTAGTGTACTGTACTCCTATACAATTAAAAAATAATTGATGTCCACGCTTATTGGCGGTGTCTGTGATCTTCCTTTCTGTTGTTGTCAACAAATGCCTTAAAAAACAAGTTCAAGAATGTTGTGCTGTCTGCTTGATTTACACACCCAAAGTAACAGGCAAATCTTTTATGATGAAACAGAACAGTTTTCTGTTTAAATTATACACAAGTATATTAACTAGAAAGAGAAAATTAAAAGCTGATGGCTACAAGGAATAATGGAAAGTCTATAAAAATGTTTTATCTATCAACAAATTTGCCTGGAAAATATCAATGGTTGGCACCATCTCTCTGCTGAAACATGGAGAGGCCATCTTGGATCTGTTATGTCAATTCCATCAAGCATTTAATTCTGACGTCCTCCTTAATCAGCTTCAGTTATTTAAATTCAGCATATCATGTTACTGTTATACTACATCATTTTAATTGTGCCGTGAACTACTTTATTATAGAATGCTAAAGTATTTCCCTGTGCCTCCTTCTTCCTCTTTCTGAACAATGCCGGCTGTAGAGAGACAGCCCATGGTGAAAAGAGGGAAATCGCTTCCTTTGAAAATATTTGTGTCAAGAATCTTGCATAGAGAGAGGGTGGTGGTTGTTTTAGCAAGAAATAAATCAAATCCCACAGCAAATGTTTCTTAGTTTTCTTTCTTTGAGCCAGGATTTTTATTTTTTATGAAATCTCCATTGAACAACTAAAAATGTATCTGTAATACCAAGAGGTAATAGGCTAAGAGGAAAGAGACTTAGGAAAACACACGGCAAGGAAGAAAGAGTCAATGTGAGATGCGGATTTCACACTTTACCCTGGACTCACTGGTTAATAAGGATGTTTAAGGCAGAAAAATCACAAATTGACGCAAATTTTTATCATATTCGTGATCTTAATAGCAATTTTGTTTTTTAAAAAAATCTACTCTACCAAAATATCTGTCCTAAAAATGTAATCTTTGGTTTATTTTTCATAAAGGAATTGGCTTCAGAGAATTTATCACAATCTAAAATCATCTTGGCCATGTATCTGTTTACTTGTTCATAACCTGCATCTCCTCCTAGGTCCAAGTGCATGAGCCCCGGTGCCTGACTGTTCCCTTCACAGCTGCACTCACAGTGCCGAGCACAAGCTCTAGCAGAGCACTGGCATTTCACAAACATCCGTGGAATGAATGTATTAATTCTGACTCAAAATACGTTTTTAGTCTCCCCCTTTCTAGAGTCTTCTAAATTTTCTTTTCCCATGCCCATCAAAATGTGAATGGATTAACCAGCTGTGGTCTAACTGGAGAATGTCCATTACTCAGTGATTAAAATCGGCGGATCACGAGGTCAGGAGATCGAGACCATCCTGGCTAACACGGTGAAACCCCATCTCTACTTAAAAAATACAAAAAACTAGCTGGGCGAGGTGGCGGGCGCCTGTAGTCCCAGCTACTCGGGAGGCTGAGGCAGGAGAATGGCGTAAACCCGGGAGGCGGAGCTTGCAGTGAGCTGAGATCCGGCCACTGCACTCCAGCCTGGGCGACAGAGCCAGACTCCGTCTCAAAAAAAAAAAAAAAAAAAAAATAAGCCATGAATACACACAATACCACGTATGAGTCTCAAAACAATGGGTGGAGCCATACAAACCAGCTTCCAAAGAGTCTACACTGTAGGATCGAATGCATATGGGGTTGCAGAGCAGGGAAGGCTAAGCTGTGGTGAGAGAAATCAGAACAGAGCGCACTTTCTTCTCAAGAGAATCTCCCCAAAAAGAGGCATGAGGGAACATTCTGGGGTCACGGAAAAGTCATAGAGCTCGATCAGGCTGTTGTTTGCATGGATATTATACATGAAACTATACACCTAAGAGCTGTGCATGCATCCTATGTTAATTACATCTTAATTTTTAAAATCTTAGTAACACACTTTTTTTTTTTTTTTTTTGGTAGTTCATTGGCAATGGAAGGAGGAAATGCAGAAGATGAATACGGTGAAGAGGCCCTGGAATTCCTGTTTCCATATCACTACCTCCCTCCCTCCACAGATTCAGGGAACAGTGCTACTAAGCAGCAGAGTTGACAGATGTTCTTACAAAACCCCCTCCGCCCTGATGTATTTTCCTACCTGGCTTCACCCCGCCCCCGGAGGCTGTAACAGGTCTCTCTCACGCACAGGTGATGAAGGCAGGGGTTCCTTCATTGCAAGCACGCCGTCTTGGATGCAGGGAAGCACCCAGCTCCTCTGCCAGAAGCTGTGAATAACACTCTTAACAGTCCATGCAAATGCTGTGGTCTATGTCTGCATGCCCAGCTGGTCTGCTGATCAATTTTTACTTCTCAAATTGGGTCAGTGAAAAAGGACAGCGCTTTCTGTTCCCGCGATCTAAATTCTCAATGTGATCTAAATTCTATTAACACTGGGGAACCTGAAAATTCCAAAGCAAGCCTTTAGCTTCACTGGGACCACCTTTCAGAAAGGCCCATTGACCTATTTTCTTTTTAAACCTTCCCTTTCTTTTAATTAAAAGGCTCAAATTTCCTGGATGTTAATCAAAGATTAGCTTGAGAATTAAAATGCTGTGCGTCACTCAGAAAAAGAACCAAGTCGAATGGTGAACCACACTCCTCTCCTAATCAGTCCCAAACCACCTCGAAAGGGCCTTCTATGCAACTTCCTCATGTCTGTGAGAGGAACCAAGTGCGAAGGCTTCCTGCTGTCATGCTCTGATGGGGAGATGAGCTGTGGAGCTGGGGTAGCCTTTGGGAATTCTCCGTTGACTTCCTGTAAGAATTGGATCTTCTCCTCTGACTGCACCTGAGAAGTCCTGATTTTCTCATCCTGATTTTGCTTCTCTTTTCCTTTACTCATGGGTGATGGGTCCATATTCGACCAAAAGGTCTAGGCATCGCAGCTGGCCTTGAGCTTTCTAGTCCACTGTTTTCGATTGGCTCCTGGGGTGCATTGGAGACCTGAGGGTATCTGAACTGCAAAAGTGAGTTCCACACCTGGCACGAACGCTCTTAGTCTGTCCAGAGCTGTCCCTTCCACAAATCTCTGTCTGTTGTTGTCCCTCAGGTTCACCTAGGAGAGCCTAGGGTCATGCCTCAAGGACATTGAATGACAAACAACACAGCCTCCCTGGGCAGTGCAGGCCTCTAAGAATGACTGTCATTGCATGCAACGTGGGGACACTATCAGGAAGGAGATGAGATGCTGCCTCCAGCCAGAGGCAGAGGATGTCAGGGACAGCATGTCCTGCAAGAGTGAAACTCAGGCTGCATCCTCAAGGGAGGGATGATTTCAGGTGGAGGAGGATGTTCTGGCCTCCGCAGGCAAAGGAATGTTGTCTGATGAAAGAATAAGAGCTGTTTTCTGTAAAGCAGTTTTTCCCTGAAATTCAGACATTCCCATGCTGGCTTCACGTGTGTTGCCATCTCGCACCCCCTCCGAGCACATATGGCCTCCCCAAAGCTTGCTGCAGTCAGGGCAGACAGGAGGGACACGCGGAGAGCTGTGGATGGCACCAGCCACTGTGCAGATCAGGGAAGAGCGTCAGGAGGTTCCACTGCGCGTCTCAGGTCTGCCCGCTGCTCCCTGTCTCTGTGCGCCATCTGTAAGTGGGGCCTGTGGGGTTGGACTCAGTGAGTTGTTGTGAAGGCTAATGAGGCCCATTGCACCCTGTCCCTTAACATGTTGCAAAGGCTGAATGTTTGATAGCTATTATTAGTCGTTTTGTAGGTTAGAATCAAAGGATAATAATTTTTGCCTTAAATAAAAAGCCACAAAAGGGTGACTTTTAAAGAACAAGAAATAAGCACTTTGGGAGGCGGAGATGGGTGGATCACTTGAGGTCAGTAGATCGAGACCAGGCTGAGCAACATGGTGAAACCCGGTCTCTAATAAAAATACAAAAAACTTTAGCTCACCGTGGTGGTGCACACCTGTGATCCGAGCTACTTGGGAGACTGAGGCAGGAGAATCACTTGAACCTGGGAGGCAAAGGTTGCAGTGAGCCAAGATCACGCCATTGCACTGCAGCCTTGGCAACGAGAGCGAAACTCCATCTCAATAAATAAATTAATAATAATAATTATAATAAAAAATAAGAAACAACAAAAAGTCACAGAATCATATACCCAGGCCACTCCAGTCCCTGTTTTCTTTTCCGTCACACAGCTCCATCCTCAGTCAGTTCTGCCTTATCCCGACCGCTGAGTCTCACCTGCCCTCTCTCAGTGTGCAGTGTCCTCTGCTGAGCCCATTTCAGTCAAAGTCACCTTTAAAGAAGTTTGTTTTAAATGGACCCAAGACCAATGCCCCAACTGCAATACTGTTCCCACCATAGTGCAGTTTAGTGCATGCCCTCGGAGACTTCAGCTTTCACTGCTCCCTCCACTCCCTTGTCACCAGGGGCGAGGTTGACCTTCTGGAGTCTGCAGCTCTATGTGTCCCCAACAGGGTGGAGCTTCTTTAGCGATGGCATCAGGCTGCAATGTAGGCTGAAACACACATACTGCACACTGTGTGTGTGAAATGCTTTCACACGCATTAATTAGTATGTGAGCTCTCCTCTGCCCTGGAGATGAAGGCTTTTTTTATGAATGTACCTTATTTTGCTTT